GTCAGGCTCTAATTCTCAAAGAAACCTAAAGGAATTGATTTCCCGTTAAAATGAATGGGAAACGGGCTGTTCAGATCTTCCGGGTGCTTTTGCAAATCCCTCCCTTAATACCAGCCAATAGGGGTAATGAATTTATTTTCTAGGAGGAGGGTGTGCACAGGTTACGGGCTGGATCATGCTTATTTGACGTATGTGAGAAATAGTCCGATGGGATTTAAATGGACTACTTAATTGACTAAGCCAAGCAGGGTTTAGCCATGTGTTTCTCAGTGTGTTGTATAGGTTGACGCACATCCACAGGATGAAATTTACCAACCGTGCAAGTGGCATAACTTTCTTTTGTCATTAGCATAACTAAAAACCTTTCCTTACTGAGCATACTCATGCTCATCCAGCCACCTAATGTCTACTCTTCTCACAACATCAAAACTAGTCTAAACGTTCCAAGACACGTCACTCCTATGAAATAAATAAACCACGTGTCTGCCAGGTAGTGCATGCAGTGGGTGAAACTCACCCCAAAGCAGAGAGCCAGCCCGAGGTCTAGGCACCACTTACACCCTCAAAATATAGCCCAAACAGGACTTGTAGTCCTCAGGCTGACCCTCTGTACAGGGGGCAATTTAATCCATGGTGCATATTTTTCTTTTCCTTCATCACTCTATTTATGACAATCTGTTCCACCTTGTACTCAGCAGTGACATTCTGAGTTAGTTTCCCAGACCTGAAGAAGAGCTCTGGGAGGCCCAAAAGCTTGGCTCTCTCACCAGCAAAAGTTGGTCCAATAAAAGATATTGCCTTCTTGTCTTTCTAATCTCCTAGAACCAACACAGCTGCACCAGCACTATTTAACTTAGAAGAGGAGCAGCCAGTCACATGTAACCTGGTTACTGTAAAGAGAGAAAGAAAACTTGTAAGCCTTCTGTCTGGTCGTGACATTTCTCTAGACATACTCCTGCATAATTCAACTCAGCCTTAGTTATGGAGCTATCACTCCCATGATACTTTGCACTCCCATGATACTTTGCAACTGTGTATTTGCAGATACACCATTTTCTTTTCAGCCTGGGAATTGAAAGAGCCTAATGTTCCAAAAGGCTCATAGTGCATGGAGGTTAGTGCACATGCCAATCAAAGACACTTGGAGGGGATTCTAAGTCACCTTTATCCAAGAGAGAGAAAATTCCCTTTACAGCCCTACTGCCGAATGATAACCCAACATTCAGTGAGGATTCAGAGGATGATTTTGGAAAAAATGTCTCAAAAGGAGAGAGCACTGCTTGCTCAAACAAAGGAGCTGCACATCACACTGTTATGTAGCTTTTTAAACTAAATAAGGTTTATCAACTATTAATTGTCAAAAGAGGAAAAATAATGGCTACTTTCATAGAATCATAAAAGATTAGGATTGGAAGAGACCTCAGGAGGTCATCTAGTCCAACCCCCTGTTCAAAGCAGGACCAATTCCCAACTAAATCATCCCAGCCAGGGCTTTGTCAAGCCGGGCCTTAAAAACCTCTAAGGATGGAGATTCCACCACTTCCCTAGGGAACCCATTCCAGTGCTTCACCACCCTCCTAGTGAAATAGTTTTTCCTACTATCCAACCTAGACCTCCCCAACTGCAACTTGAGACCATTACTCCTTGTTCTGTTGTCTGCCACCACTGAAAACAGCCGAGCTCCATCCTCTTTGGAACCCCCCTTCAGGTAGTTGAAGGCTGCTATCAAATCCCCCCTCATTCTTCTCTTCCGCAGACTAAATAAGCCTCGTTCCTTCAGCCTCTCCTCATAAGTCATGTGCCCCAGCCCCCTAATCATTTTTGTTGCCCTCTGCTAGACTCTCTCCCATTTGTTCACATCCTTTCTGTAGTGGGGGGCCCAAAACTGAACGCAATACTCCAGATGTGGCCTCACCAGTGTCAAATGCAGGGGAATAATCAGTTCCCTCGATCTGCTGGCAACACTCCTACTAATGCAGCCCAATATGCCGTTAGCCTTCTTGGCAACAAGGGCACACTGTTGACTCATATCCAGCTTCTCGTCCACTGTAATCCCCAGGTCATTTTCTGCAGAACTATTTCTTAACCAGTCAGTCCCCAGCCTGTAGCAGTGCATGGATTCTTCCTTCCTAAGTGCAAGACTCTGCACATGTCCTTGTTGAACCTCATTAGATTTCTTTTGGCCCAATCCTCCAATTCGTCTAGGTCACTCAGGACCCTATCCCTACCCTTCAGGGTATCTACCTCTCTCCGCAGCTTAGTGTCATCTGCGAACTTGCTGAGGGTGCAATCCATCCCATCATCCAGATCATTAAGATGTTGAACAAAACCGGCCCCAGGACTGACCCCTGGAGCACTCTGCTTGATGCCGGCTGCCAACTAGACATTGAGCCATTGATCACTACCCATTGAGCCCGACGATCTGGCCAGCTTTCTATCCACCTTATAGTCCATTCATCCAATCCATACTTCTTTAACTTGCTGGCAAGAATACTGTGGGAGACCATATCAAAAGCTTTACTAAAGTCAAGATATATCACGTCCACCACTTTCCCCCTATCCACAGAGCCAGTTATCTCATCATAGAAGGCAATCAGGTTGGTCAGGCATGACTTGCCCTTGGTGAATCCATGTTGACTGTTCCTGATCACCTTCCTCTCCCCCAGGTGCTTCAAAATGGATTCCTTGAGGACCTACTCCATGATTTTTTCAGGCACTGAGGTGAAGCTGACTGGCCTGTAGTTTCCCGGATTCTCCTTCTTCCCTTTTTTTAAAAAAACGGGCACCATATTTGCCCTTTTCCAATCGTCCAGGACCTCCCCTAATCACCATGAGTTTTCAAAGATAATTGCCAATGGCTCTGCAATCACATCAGCCAACTCCCTCAGCACCCTCGGATGCATTAGATCTGGCCCCATGGGCTTGTGCATGTCCAGTTTTTCTAAATAGTCCTTAACCTGTTCTTTCACCAGTGAGGGCTGCTCACCTCCTCCCCATACTGTGCTGCCCAGTGCAGCAGTCTGGGAGCTGACCTTGTCTGTGAAGACTGAGGCAAAAAAAGCATTGAGTACTTCAGCTTTTTCCACATCATCTCTCACTCCTCCTTTCAGTAAGGGTCCCACACTTTCCCTGACCTTCTTCTTGTTGCTAAAATACCTGTAGAAACCCTTCTTGTTACCCTTCACATCTCTTGCTAGCCGGAACTCCAATTGTGCTTTGGCCTTTCTGATTACACCCCTGCATGCTCGAACAATATTTTTATACTCCTCCCTAGTCATCTGTCCAAGTTTCCACTTCTTGAAAGCTTCCTTTTTGTGTTTTAGCTCACCGACGATTTCTCTGTTAAGCCAAACTGATTGCCTGACATATTTGCTATTCTTTCCGCATATCGGGATGGTTTGTTCCTGCGTCCTCAATAAGCCTTCTTTAAAATACAGCCAGCGCTCCTGGACTCCTTTCCCCCTCATATTAGCCTCTGAACATTTCATCTGTGGGTATGTCGGTGTTTACTAACCTAAACTCCTGGGCAGGAACCCGGCTCCAGTTAGGAACTATCTGCCTTGGAAACTAGAGATGTCTCTGTTCCGAGTCTGATCAGAAGACATACTAAATATAGTACAAAGGTTTTGGAAGGAACATGCAGCCAAAACTCACTGAATTGCTACCATTTGATTTGCTGACATCCATTCAGAACAAGCAGCACAAAGATAAAATTGTAATTAAAAAGTTATTACTCTAGAAATAATATTTGTACTTCAATTGTCCACTTATAGGAGACCTATTTTGGGCCAGACCCTTATTCATGGACCCAAATGGGATTACTACAGCGTGTAAGTGCTCACCAGTGTAAGGATGGTAGAATTTGTCCCTTTCACACTAATTATGGCAACACTGCGTAAGGCTATGGAGCAGATCCTGAGCCCATGTGAGTCAATGGGAGTTTTCCATTGTCTTCCGTGGAAACACTTCTAATTTTCCCTTTATGCAGATGAGAAGTTTGCTGATCATATAGGATTTTAAAAAGCTGTTCCTTCGGGAAATAATGAGTGTTGATATGGTTCTGTGGAATTGGTGGTGACTGATGTACTAGCTTAACCAATCATTTGTAAGCTGCCCTCTTCTGTTCATTAGCTCCGGGAAGTAGAGAACATTGAACAAAATGTCACTTGGTTCTATTAATGCTCTCTCTTTGAGAGGGAGGGGGAATGTACAGAATTAATGGGCCAAATTTATCCCCAGTGTAACTTTATGGATTCCAATGGAACGGATTTACTGTAGCACACCGTGTACAAGGAATGACTTTGAGAAATGTCTTCATTTAAACATATAGGTATCCCACAATGTGCGTCCCTCCCATCTGTTTGATTGGCAAAGCAGCGTTTGTATGTTTCAGTGTGCATGGCGGCCCCGAATGTAATATTGTTTGAGATATCAATCTGAAAAATCATCACCTTGGGATTTTTCTCATTTCTTTACAAAATAGAAATAATTGGGTGTTCGTGTGTAATCTATATAGATGTACATAAGGGGTTGGTTATTAATTAGGAATTCCTTCTCTGATGCAGTTTAACTTGAAAGCAGAGAATTTGTTTCAGTGCTAGTTGTGATGACAAATAAACATAAATTAACATTTAGCAGTAAAATGTCACAAACCGCCCATGTCTTTCCGTGCTCATGTGTTCCATGCCAGCTCATAGCATGTTCACACACGACTGTCAGATGTGACGCTGTATATAGAAATAACATCAGCCCCAAATATAGCCACAATGGATGTTAACCTGGTTCAAAGTCGGTTAAAGCTTACTGAATTCTTTGACTCAGTGCACCAGTTTGAAAACACATGTTTCAGAGGCGTTTTCGGTTCATAAATTTGTACCGTGTTGCTGTTTATGCTAAGCCACTCTCAAAAGTAACACAAGGAAGCAAGTTATTTACATTGGTGCTGTGTAAATTGAGCAGACCAATCCTTATTCACCAAAAAAAAAAAAAAGCCAGACAGCCATGTTGAGTCACACAACCTGCGTCACTGCACCTTAAGGGAGACACTCCAAGTTGGCCTGCTCAAAGTCAGAACTGCTTCCGGTCCCCAGGCGCAGCTGAGAGAACCAGAGGCAGCGAGATCTGTAGGCTGTGTGTAGGATGCAGCTACTGTACCTTTCAAATCAGATGGAACGGCGGCAGAACTGGTTTCTCCCATTTCTTTGTTTTGTATGAGAGCCCAGTTAATATCGCCAGAATTTCATGGATTTAAAAAATAATAATAATTAGTTCACCCAGTTTAAAGAGTAAAATTTCAGCCAGCGGGTTCCTACTGGATACTTTCGTCTTCCTTCCTTGCAGTCTGATTTGCATGGTTATTTCTAGGTGATTCGGATGCCGTCAGCCTGGATGATATGTTTAGTAAGTGCTGGAGTTCCAGACTCCTTGGGTCAGTGGCGGTCATAGGCAGCAGCAGCTGCTGGGGGTGCCGCTCCTCGGGCTGCAGCACTGTAATAATAAGGAGAGCCTGGAAGAGAGAAGATGGCTGTGAGGATCACACAGGTCAAAAGGGCGCAGCCTGCCCAACACACCGTGGGCACTAGAAAGCTGTCTTGGCTGGAGTTAGCCCCACGCTAATAAGGGCCTGCAAAGTGGTACAACAAAAATGCTACAAGACACATCACTTTAAAACATTAAATGCCAGAATGCTGCAGACCGCACCTCACATTTCAGTTCTCTTTCGGTATCTTCAGCTCTGCAAAGAGATCGGCAGGCCCAGACCATTATGGTTGTGTGGAGTCCCACTGAAGTGACTT